CCCACGCAACCTGCGGCCGGCACTGCTGCCGTAGGAACGTTCCTCTTCCAAACCGTGCATGCAACTCATTAGAGAGGCACGTAACACGGCAGTTATTTGGTGTTTTATCGTGTTCCCCACCACATTATTAGTTGTTTACTGGGTCAGAAACATAGCACCATGCACATATCCCTGGAGATCTTGATCCCGAATCCATGCATATATCCCTGGAGATCTTGATCCCGAATCCGTGCATTTCACTTGGGGCACATGAGCACCAAAGTCACCAGGCCACGTGCCATGCAAGACCAAAGCTTCCCTGTCTATATTTTTCCCTTCCCTCCCCTAAGTCTCATTCCCTATCACCTCCTGCGAGCTTCCTGATTGCCAAATCATCCTTCTATCGGATTTATTTGCTTCCTTGAGTGAGCCACGTTGATATTTCACATTAAAAGCCAAATGTTTTTTCCGCAGCCTGGTTCTGCCATGACCGTGCGCCGTCGTGGGGAGGGACGGGGAGCCAGCGTGTGGTTCACATAGCTGTGGGTGTCCAAGGGATTCAAAGCCCTCACTGGATCTGAGGAATTAGACGAGACAAGATAGTATCTCCTCCGGCAAGTTGGGTAGGAGGCTTTCAGAGTTTAGCTTCCTAGTTCATTTACATCGTTCTATTTCCCTCCCCTTCTACTCCTGTTTTTCAAAAAAGGAAAAACGTCCAAATATTATTTCACCATTCCACGATAATTAATCCTGTAAATCATCCCTAGGTGAAACTTCAGAACGTTATCCTGCAGAGTAGCAAGCGGCGCTTTCGTTTTGGAAGACTTTCTGTTGGCCAAGTATTCGCTAACTACGGGGTTGCTGGCTCAGGCGCTCCGAGCAAACCTGCTGCTAGCCAACAGAATTAAAAATGTATTTATAGGAAAGTGCCCGTCCTTCTCCTAGTGGGGCTGAGGATGTTTCTGTGGAGATCTGCCATAACTGAGCAGAAACATCAGTGACGTTCAAAACCAGCACAAACACCGCAAAACCCACAGAAAACAAAGCTGAGATTATTCTGCGGATTGCCTGCTTTATTGAATTTGGGATCGTTAGCGTTCAATTTGCCGCTGGCATGAGAAGACTGAAATGTTCTGCAATGCTTTTAGCAAAGCAGCTCTCTCGAGCAGGAGACCCTGCCACTGGACTTTGTTAAAGGTCCTGAAACGCTGCCAGGGACTTCTCGCTGGCACGTGGGCGAGGAGTGTGCCGATTTATCCTCAGGCGTCCTCCCACAAGGCTCGTCCCCACACGCGTTCTTAGGGGAAGCACGGACAAATAATAAATGAATGAAGCAATAACCGGGGAAATAATAGACCCCAGTGGAATAGAGGGAGAGCGATCTTGCAGGGAAAGGTCACATGAACTAACAAACAGAATTATTACAATCAGGCATTAAAATTAAGGGCACGGAAATGCCTGTTTGTGCAGAGGAGGAAACTGTTACCAAGACACAAAAATCTGCTAGTTGTAAAAACAACCTCAGAAATTGAGAACAGGAACACACTGACTTTGTAAAGCCACTTTCTCCACTTCGTACACAGGCAGCGTCATCGCCCTCTGCCTGCCTCCTGCCCTTCAGGCTCACATCGAACTGCGCCTCGCAGCCCCCGCAGCTTCCCACCTCCTCCTCACCAAAACCTCGCTTGCCTCCTCCGGAAACGCTCCTCCAGACACCTGTCTGCTCCGCCACGGAGTTACGATGCATGGTGCCACTGTTCCAGTACCTATGCTCCTGCTTTGTCGTCTTCTGCTCGTACCATCGGTCTACAGATCCATGGAGACGGACTTCTGCAGCTGACATCTCCTCCTGTACAGGCAGTATCCTCCACGAGGCATGGATAAGCAGGTTTTCCACTTTCATTCTATGATCTGATGATCCACTAAGGATTCGTTTCTCTGTGCCTACGTGCCGACAAATTTCAGGTCCCGGAAAACAGCTCCCTACCTAGATTAAATGGTACATCAACCGTACATCTGTCCAGAGCCCTGGCTAAACTCACAAGAAACAAAAATTCAGGAGATGAAGAAATGACGTTTAATTGCACTGCTTCCTCTAGAAACACGTTTTCCATACTGCTGAGCTGGGCATCGCTTCTGAGCAATAAGGGATGTGCTATTTTAGGAGGATCCAGCCTAAAAGAGTAAAAATTTGATTGTTGTGCTGGCTTTTTTTAAAAAAAGCCGGGCAAACCGCAGGAGCCTCCCACTGCTGAGGTGTGTGCCTTGGCAGCCGCACCAGGCAGGGTACAGCTCTGCTACGGTAGCAGCAATGGTCCCAAAGATTTTTCTGGCCAAACCCATACCCATGGACTAATACCATCAGCTGTAGGCTCTGCTCACTGCCGCCAGTTCTGCGTCTTCTCTCTCATCCAAAAACCTCCTCTCAGCGGGCCACGCGCACAGCCTATGCGTAAGCACCAAATGAAGATTTTCTTCAGGTGTACGTGTGAAGACGTGCGCACGCTCAAATAAATGCAACTGTACTTTTAAAACTACATATCCATCTGTTAACCTGTGTCTTCCACGCAGCAACTCTTACCGCGTTGCCAACCATCTTTCCAGCGTGCCACCAGCAGGCTCTCAAGCTTTATCTGCAATATATTTTCCATAAAACACAGGCGCAGTGGAAGTATGAGAGTGCAAAGTAAAAGGAAATGTAACTTTATGCAAACACGGAAGAAAAATCGTTAGCACGAAAAAAATCACAGCCCCCAAGACCACCAGCCCTGAACTTTGTCACTATTACTATCTAGCACACCGCAACAATGGTTTTTTTTTTTTTCCTTCCAAAAGGTTTGTATTTAAGCTTCCAGAAAACTGTCAAGCTGCATCAGTAATTCTCACTAATCTCCTTTTCCACACTTCAGTGATGAGGTTTTTTAGGGGCATAAAAATAGCCTGGCAGCTGCTGTGGCCCTGCTTTGGCCGTGCGAGCCGAAGGAGGCAGGAAAGGCGATGTCCTTACCTTGAGGATGGGAGCCATAAAGACAGACACACCGGTCAGAATGAAAACGATGACTCCAGTGACTCTCTGCTCCCTGAAACAAAATCCCTGGGTGAGCAGGATGGCTTCAGCTTTCACTCTGCTTTTATTCCCTCTCGAGTACTCAAACCCAACGTCAAGCCTGACAACTCATTTTTGCAGCCACATGTTCAAAGCAGACTGGCGATTACAAGCCAGCAGCGTCGGGCAGGTATCTCGATCCTGACCGAGCCTCACACGCCTCTTCTCTCAAATCCCAGATCAATTTTTGTACGCCGCCTTAGCTCCGCTGTTTGTGGATCAACAGAGTACTGCTACTGAGTAAGGAGGAGCGTGTTTACATGGTAAACATTAGAAACCGTTAACTAGCAATCCAAATTCTCTGCATGGCTGCCTTTATAGCATGCAAATAGGCAATAAATCATTATCTCTCCACTCTTAGATTAGTAGCATATTTTGAGTCCCGGCCATAGTGCTCCAGCAGTTGGACAAATGGTCCAGGCCTTCCTGGGGTGCTGAACGTGCGCCTTCATGGGCACCCACAGCCGCTCCCTACATCCAAAAATACTTTTGCCAGTAATATTTCAGCATCCTGAAAGTTAGGCCATTAAATTTCTATTTAGTCACCTAAACAAGTGGCCTGATTTCCAGAAGCGCTCCTATTGACAGCACTTCAGACCACTTAATTAAGGCAACCAAATACAGAAAAAATTGCTTAAGTAGAGCTGATTGCTCTAGGCATGACAGGTTTACATTTTTTACCATTATGTTTGCTAATGAATGCCTGTCTAATTTCCATGGATGAAGAAATTTGTAGTAAATTTATCTCCTTTCTCAAACACTGGAAAACTGCGTCTGATCTGGCCAAATAAACTTTTGAGGAGTTACACTGGGATTTGTCCAAGGAATTGCCAGAGACCTGCACTGCTACATCTCACAGTTAGGTTTGGAAATATGAAGAAAGCAGCACGAAATTCTTCATGACAACTTGGCAGTGCGCCGTGGACACCAGAGCTCGCTCTGTAAAGCTTGGTGTATTTTGGGGTGACTTCCAACATGCATGCCCAAAGCAGACCGAGAAATGGTCTAAGCTCCGGTGCAAAGTTTCCTTCCCTTCGTCGCTTTGCTACCACACGTTTGCACAGACTCTCCCCCGTCTACAGGGACGCACGTAGTACAAAAGTTTTCTTCCTTTTCAAGAAAGAGTATTTGCAAAAGGGCTACGCCAGACGAACTTCTAACTGGATATATCCTCTGCAGATGAGAAAAGCTGTCAGGAAGCACAGCTGATCTGAAGATTTACAGCAAATCTAAGAGCTATTCCCGCTGAACCTCTGCACGTGTCCTGCTCGAAGCAAGACCATTTATAGTACAAACTGATCTTTGCAGGCAAACAAGGCAATTAAGGCCTTTCTGGTTTGACATACCTCACTCCCAAAAACTTGGGCTGTTCTCCAGGGGCTGAAGTTTCCGTCTCCATCTTCAAGCTGTCAATATGAGCAATGGAGATGACGGTAGCAGCAACGTACCAGGGCAGACCCATGAAGGAGCATATGATCATCAGAATGGCCACCCAGAACAAATCCAGATGATATCCAGCACCTTTCTGTGAAGGGAGACAGACAACCTTCAGCTTAATTATTCTAAAACACCTACGGAACGGCCAGGGCTCTGGTCCGGGGGCAGAGGCACACCAAACAAGCAGCATTTCCTTCTACAGCGTCTTTTGGCCAACAGAAATCACCGTAGGAAATAGCAGAGTAGGACACGTCGGTCCTTGAAGGATGAATTACCTGCTTCCACAGGGAAAACAGGTAAGCGTTACAGTTCTGGCAAGCTCTGAAAACGCCAGCATACAGTAAGCGTAGGAGAGCAGCAGACTTGCAGGCAGCCCGGCAAAAGACCAAGCACCTTGTGTCCACTCTGTAGAGCTTGGCGGTTGAGTTGGTACAAACCAAGCCCTGCGGCCAGTCAAATAGCTCTTTATGGAGGTACTTGACACAGCAGACCATGAGTTAAAGACAATCAGAGAGCACCACCTTCGCCAAAAAATATTTGGTGAGATACACATTGTATCTTGTAAACAGTATAAGCAAGCTCTCATTATGATTTCTCTCTTTTCTTAATACACACACACACACACACATGTATCTTGGTTATAATGGCTTTACAGCATTCTGAAGGAGCTCTGCATTGCCTCTTAAAAACCAAAAATGAAACCCCGTTGTAAATTTTTATAATGATATGTTCCCATTTTTTTAACGGGGTAACGCAGTGACAAGGAATCCAACAGCCAACACCATCCCACCCCCTCACTGCCCCCCCGCAGCGCATGCGAAAACTTGACGGCCCGTTTTCACAGCACAAGGCAGTTACGGCAGCAAGAGAGTTTGGAGAGGGTGGGTGGACAGAAGATCGTCTGCAAAGCAGGAGAGCGGCTTGCGACGGTGTGAGCCGTTTGTCAACCGCTCTGCTACGAGCGCACAGGACTTCTGACACGGTGGGAGGCCGAGATCGGTATCTTTGTGCGCCGAGTCATCTCGCATCTGTGTAAGTGACACCTTGGATGTGCAGAGAGCTTTAAAGCACCCAAACCACCCTTTAAAACCAGCCCAAAGCCTAATTTTAGTTTGAAACAGCTGTTGTAAATACCTCTCAGTATAATGACTTAATGCAGCCTACCTGAAAGCAATCTTACAGAAATATGGTGCCTGCCTAAAGGTAACATTTGCCATTTGCTGTCTCAGAGAGAGATCCGACTCCTATGTTTAGGGTAAGGAGCAACAGTGGGATCTCACAGTCGGGACTTTGCAACTGGTCTGAGCCCTGCTGATGGTGCCTGGTGCTGGAGGCATCTTCCTCAACACCCAACCCTCGGCTCTCTTGGGGAAAGCAACAAGAACAGCTGATGGGCTCATACCCTATCGAAAGGAGAAAGCTGCCCTCGTTCTTTATTCCCTTGTAAAGACCTCTGATCGCCTATTTTTTAAATCCTTTAATGAACTAACACAGGAAATCCACCAGTCACAAGTGCCAAGAGAAGCGAAGAAACAAAAGAGCCACCAAAGACAGTGATCTTCAAAAAAACACTAGACAAATCTCTAAGGTTTGCTATTTTAAAGATGATTAACCTTTTTTTAATCCTGTTCAATTTGATTTTATTGGAAAGAACAAATGATCTGGACCTACTTGGTGACCCAGGAGGGACAGCAACCCAGCTCACCTTGAATAGTCCTCATTGTTTTTCCCGTACGTGCGCTGCTTACCTTGGCTGGCCAGCAGCACTGGGACGGGCACTCAGTGACACCCTGCCAATATTTTAGCAAGGCACGAGCAGAAAAAAACCCCATCCTTCTTTTGGCCTACAGTAGATTTTGTGTACGGAGGTGTTTTTTGGTGCAGAGTAGCACGATCGGACTCGAGAAGCCCCAATTACACAAAAGCACATGCTCACAACCGTAACAAAGGAAGGAGGAAATAAATTTTTTATATTAAACAGTACTTTGCTGGAGCATTTATACTTTGTTACTAAAAAAGTACAGCCAGTGCTGATAGCATAACCACGTTCAGTGCCTATAAGGTGAAGAGATGAGGGACCTCTTCTTCATGGGGGAAGAACCCAGAACATATTCTCCCAATGATTAAGAAAATGATACGTCTGCTTATTTAGGTGCAGGAGACAGACCTAAAACTGAGACCATGTCAATGATTAGCCTCTCCCCGAGGAAGATGCAGGCACAGTATTGAATGTATCTGCCCAGTCCAGACGGCAAAACGCGATCTTCTGAGGGTTTTTTTTTTTCAAACGAGCCCCATAAGACCATCAGCCAGCGCTCATCCCTGTGCACAACAAACCTTTCCCATTCCCTGTTGCTCTGACTTTCTCCTCCAGGTCAGGCTCAGGACTGTCTTAAACCACACGTCGGTTGTCTAACGTCCACAGTTATCATACGAATTGAAACATCCTCCTCTTTTTCAAGTAAAAGCTCCATTCACGTTTCCAACAGCTCTCAATATAACCGATGAAGCAGACATCTAAATGATCACCCAGCGTGACCCATGTTTTGAGGGAGTCTTTACTCTCATGGGTTAGACCACTTGGAACGTGTCCCGTTAGCAGGAAGGGAGAGTCTTCTTTTACAGGAATTTAATATTTTTCAATAGAACTGACAGTGCAGGGAAAGGAAAAAACCCTACAGGCATGAAAAACTACATAGCGCCGGTCTGGAAAGTTTATTTTGAAAAACATTACTACATCCTAGGCTGTTATATGTCAGCGGATATAAAGCTCTTCTTTAAACAACATCCAACTGTGGCTATGCCCTTGGTATGTCCCAAATCTCTTCAGCTTATTGCCTGTATTTTACAGCACTGTGCAGCCAGCACAGCTGTCACACTTGGGCCATCTCTGACTATACCCACCACAGGTGGGGTCCCGCGATCGCCCCTGCACCCCAAAACCTCCTTCGGAGCGGCTGACAGCTACCCCGACGTGCCGTGCCCGTGCAGGGTGCACGACGAGTTCTGCCGATGGCTGGGAACGTCCGCCAGTGATCGTCCTACATGATAAACACGGTAACAGGGGCTTCTCAGATCCAGAGAAACTTTGCCCGTTGTGATAAGGCGAGAGAGATTTTGGCTTGGGTGCAATAACGCAGTGCTGTGCAAATTAAAATTAGGTCCCGGCTCAGGTTAAAGCAGAGCTCCTGAGAGGGGAGGCCCTTCCAAGCCTCTCCCCACCGCAAGCCTGAGCTCCCAAAATTGGGTGCTCTCTGCAGATCTGTGCATGACCCGGTGGACCCGCTGTGGCCGCCCTCGTTTTCCTTTCCACGCTGATGCATCACATTCATAAAGTATCCCCTTATAGCCCATGACCAAAGCACAGGAAGAAAGCTGACCACAATCACAAAGCAACTTTCCCACCTCAAAACCAGCAGCAGATGATAGGGAATAGGCTCGTGTCTTTGAGGGAGGAAGGTGGTAGGAGGAAAATTAGATGTTAAGAGTCGTTTGATGCTAGAGGAGAGGTTTGAGTTAGCTGGACTTGAGTCTGGGATGAGTTTCTCTAGAGAACTAGAGCCTGTGAAGCGAATGGCCATTTGGAAGCACCAGCACTACCCAAAACCCAGCAGCTTTGCACACCAGCTGTAAGGCAGCGAGCGATCAGACCCTTCTGCCCGCCCCAATCACCTTCCTGAATGCCTTGTTGGAAAAAACGCCAGAAAGAACGTCTGCCAAGCATCCTCACTGGAAAGTATCCTATCCTTCCCTAGGCGTTCCTTAGCATCAGACCTGGGGACTTGTTTTTAAAGGAATGAACGGTTTTGGTAGTACGTATAACCGTATTTGCTGGGCCCCGTGGACAGCACACGTTCACCCTACACAGGTAAATGTCGGGAATGAGAGACATCAACCAGTTTCTGACTGCACTTGATTTAATGATTTCTTATCTCCTGCCGGAAAAGCAGAGCATGCCAGATGGACGCGTAAAGCGTACGGGCATATAACCTCATGTTTGTGGGTAGATGTGCACCCTCTTTCTTTTTTTAATTCTCCAAATGGCGGAGTCTTGCAGAATTACCAAGGCGAATGACACCTGGGGTCGGGGCTAGCAGATTCTGAAACGAACTTCATCCAACCCTCTACTAAGGTAGACAATGCTACTACCACGAATAGAAGTGCAGGGCAGCAGGGTTATGAAAGCAGCTAGATGTTGTTTACATCAGTTGTCTTTGCAAGACAAGCTTTGACTAGCCTATACTTAGAAGTTTCCTTTGCCATTCTCCGATGTTTACAGTTGGAGAGTCAAGCTCTTCCAAGGAAAGATCAAAATACTGTAAAGATTTTAAGAAACTTTTTGGGTTTATGCTGACATGAAAAGGGGCTTTAAACAAAAGTTCTGCCCCTCAAAGGAGGGCCGCTCTAATTTCTTCCAGCTCTAGCCACGTCTTTGCCAAATGAGCAGTGGGTAGGATGCAATGGGTCTATGTCCTTTCCTTCCCCTAGAAGGGAAGGGGTAGCTGGCCGGTCTTGTCAAATCCCAGTATTCCTGGCGTGGGACCTGTTTGCGAAGGGAAAGGGAGGAGCAATCCCAAAGCCTCTCATGTGGGAATGCTTCAAGCCGCATGGCAGTGAAGCCCATCAAAATTCCTAAGTGCTCACTGAACGAGACATTGCGAGTTGGCCCTGTGCAGGGCTCTTGCTTTAGGAGGAAGGCAAATGCTGTTTACGCAACGCTCAAGATTTTCAGCTGAATCAGCGGTTTTCCTGGCAACAACTCTACCCTGGTCAACAGAATAAATATTGCTGTTAAACACCAGCAATGACGTTTCTGAGGCGGCATGTGCGTTCAACGCTGCCGCGGCCCCTCCTCCAGCTCTAGCACAGAAAAAGCACCGGGCAGCTCTCTGCACGCGTGCAAGACACAAAGCACACCCACCTTGAGCTTGTGCTCCTTCCTGTTGACGATGACGGCTGTGATTTGCTGGTCCATGAAGATGAGGATAGTCACCAGCAGTGCAGGGATGGCTGCTGCCATGTACACCCACCACGGGTTCCCTCCAAAAGGTGGGATAAACCAGCCCCTCTCGGGACTGGTTGGCTTTTAAGGGCAAGGAAAGGAAAGCTTGCATTAGAGCCACAATATGGGAGTGATGACATCCTAAATACACTTGTACTTCCAGCAACGAGGCTACAAACTTGAGGTTTGCGACAATTCCATCCTTCCCATTCACAGGAACAAAAGGTTCAAAGTACGGAGGCAGGATTTAGGACATTAATCAGCCAACCAAAATGCTGCTAATAAAAAGGGTATCATCTGAGTGAAACGGTCCTTTCCAGACAGCTGACTACTCTACTGTTTTGCGGGCAAGTCATTTTATACAGGGCAGAGGGGTGGAAAAGGGAACCTCTCCCAAAGGCCACCAAACAAGCCGGCAATGACGTACCTTGAATTCACTTGGCACAATGAGCTTTGGTGTGTCCACACCTACCAGGGCATCTATTCCACAGAAAATCAAAATGGACAAGATAATGGCAAAGTCACTGATGAGCTTCCGGGCCTGAAACAGAAGTCGATATCATAACAGTAGTTAGCACTATGAAACACCATTTCACCCAAGCTTTAGTTTCTATGTGATACTCCGGGCTTGCGTTTGGTGGCAATACAAGCTCATCAGTTCTTCTTTCATAGAAACAAAGGTGCGCATTGTCACGTCTGGTGCCATTTGCTTTATTGCGCTGTCTGAAAGCCAAACAATTAAGCCTAAATGCAAGTATGAAAACGAGCCTAAGCGAAAAGAAAACTGCTTTTGTAAGAAACTCCCACATGAATTCTTCAAGGCAGTCTCAGTGATGTTATGTTCGGCAGCAGCCAACAACCACTGGTACGGAGACCTAGTTCCTCTGCAGCAGCGTCTGAAGAGATTTTTCAGGATCAGCTTCCAATATTAACAGATATTGAACATTTACAAATAAAAACCTAAAAACCAAATTACTTTTTTAGACATATAAAGTATTGGCTCCCTCTGTCTGCCTTCTGATCTCTGCTTCTTACGGTCCACATATTCATGTTTTTCTATGCAGAGCCAGAGACTGTCTTTTTGACACGAGTCGAGCTTCTCGGGTTATCACAGGATTCCTAAGGTGCGTGTCTTGAACAAAAAAATACTGTGTTACCCCCACACTCCATTCTTTTAATATGACTGATTTTGCAATGCAGACTGAAAAAAAAGGGAACGTGAAGAAATAGTATTTCACACCAGACAATGGAAACAGTCATAAATGTCCCCTTAGAAGATGGGAAGACCCAAACTTCCACGACAGATGAGATGTTCTGTATGACTGGCAGAGCTCACCTTGTTTTCTGTTCAAGTAATAAATCAACCTAAACAGACAGGAAAACAAACTAGGCTTCTCAGCTAAATCCTCAACGTGTCCTATGAGTGCAACTCTACTGAAGTCATTGCAATACGACAATTTGAAGCCGCTGCTGGTCAGACCCCGAAATTGAACTGGGCAGGACCCACTGCGCTTGTCTGTAACTGCGTGATCTTTGCAGAGCTGTTGTTCCTTCCAGGTTTCCTGGGTTCACATGGTTACAGATAAATTGAGCCGCATTCCAGCCCGGATGGAATTTGTTTCCTTTTTATTAAAAAATAATAGAGGTTCAATTGTAACACAGCCGAACGGTAAACATCCATGCAGGGTAAATCCCCATGTGCTGGAATGCCAAAAATAGGGGGCAAGTCTCAGAGAGAAACATGGCTTTGGTAGACACGGAAACCACCAGCTCGCACGCGTGTCGTGGTAACTTCAGCTGGGGAGACGAAACAAGCAGATGCACCCGAGAGGTGCGTATAAGCTGGCTGTAAGTCGGAGCAAAATTGTTTAAATCAGTGCAGAGGTTTTTCAGGTCATCCTTATTTTGCATCTGATCCTCAGAGAAGAAAGGGAATTTCTGCTATAGGTCCCTATCGTGACAGGTAGACCAGACATGGACTGTAGTCGAGTTCAACATTTTTGCAGCGATTTCTGACTACTTCAAATGCTACGTGGTAACATCAGAGATGCGTCTCCGTTCTGTTCTATATGGACAGCTCGCTCACCCCGCTATTACTCAGATACAAAGCAAAGGGCTTCTTTTGTCCTCCCCAAATACTCCCTCTGTCAGAGCAGGGAGACTTCTGACATAATTAACAGCTCCTTTTGGTCGCTTGATCTCTGTGGAATGGCTGGGCATCCCACCCCAGAGCCAGTACACCACGTTAAGCTGTGCGTCTGACCCTGAAAATGCCCAGCTGAAACTATATATGCCTGAAGGATTTATTCTCATTTCTTAACGCTGATAAATGACATCATCGCGTATCTCACCTTGGAAGTGTTGTCGTCGGTACCTTTAAAATCGCTGCTGCATCCCCACGACAGCTTATGGCTCATTTTGGCTCTTCTGCTGCCTTACCCGTGCCCTCCCAGAAACACCGAGAGAGTGAAAGCTAAGCAATCCCAGCCATGCCTTGGTCAACCAGAACCATGCTTCTCAACCAATGCAACCTGCCTTCCCTGCAAAACATTTCTCCCGGTGTCAGACAGCTGTACCAAAAGGCAGGCTGACCTTTGCACTCTGAAAGAGGGTGAAAGGAGATACTTACGGTGGTTGGAAAATAGCGACTGGTCTTGAATTTCTTCAGGGCCATGGAGCAGGTGTAAGTGCCGAAAAAGAGGATGAAAGACATGAGGGTGATGTCAGGGACATAGTCACAGTTGTTGCCCACAAGTCGTCCTCCGTATTTCAAGCACTCCTTCGTTGTCAGAGATGACCAGTCAATGGTGGTGTTGTACTGCAGAAAAAAAAAAAAAAAGAGAACGCTTCCATAAAGCTGTGCTCATGCAAACACTGCTCACGCCAGGACAGGAACGGGGACAGAGCATCAGGAAAAGTACTGGGAGGAAAAGGGAGGCACGGAGCAGAGGCTGTGCTTGTGCGCAGGCGGAATGGATTTTAACCCAGACAGATGACGGTATTACCTGGGAACTGAGGACAGGCCAGGCCTCAGAAAGAAGACCGAGATCTTTTGACCTCTGCTGTGGTCTGCCAGACACGCTCTGTATTTTCTCCAGCGGAAAGGCAATGTTGGAAACCTCACGCAGAAGCTGGAGCGGCCTGAGGCCACCTCTACATCCGCTCCCCACTGCCCCTTCACTGCAACCAGCACCAAACCCAAACCTGCTTCTCTCGGATCAAGACCAGCACCGTTTCCGCAGCAGAAAATCTCCCTCCTTGCCCTTTCTAGAAACAAGGCTTGAGCTCGCCTAGTGCCCACCGGTGTCAGGAGGCTTCCGCACACAGGGCGCCGTGCCACGCTGCAGTCACCGGGTGTTCTGATGTGCTCTGAGCACCTCTACCACACAGTGCCAATTGCCCTGGGCTAAAGGACGGGGTGCTACGCTGCTGCAGGCTGCGTAACCGTGCACAGGACGCAGCCCTGCTGCTGAACGAGCTGATCTGGTCTTGCGGTGCACACAGAGTTCAGCTCTGGGCTCCTGTGTATCTTGTAAAAGGCACCAGTTTATCAGTGCCTGCAGAATGCCGGACATGCAGAGAACAAGCTGGCGGATACTGTAAATATTCAACGTTCACTGTGCTCCTCCACACAGCTGGATTGACCAAAATCCCCTCTGTTTTACAGACAAGCAGTCAGAAGGATGCTGAGGTTCAGCTTCCCTCTCTGATACGCCCCTGCAGAGCCAGCGCGCCGCAGCCTGGAGGTGCTCATTTCCAGCCCTCCCAGAGGCAGCCAACTCGGATGCTCCGGGACCGCAGCCAGCCGACGGAGGCAGGGCAGTGAAGAAGGCAAGGAGCACACGAGGTACAGCCTGGCCATCGGGAACCCTCGCTTCTATTTCGCCACCCTGCGAACGACCCCCTTGGGGACCGTGGGCAATGCTCTTGCCTTCAGGTCCGCGTCTCGTGCTCCTAGTGCCTGCAGACCGTGCCCAGCTCAGAAACCATTCCCTTTCCTGCTGGGCCACTTGATGCCACACAACAGTGGCCACCAGATGGAAAGAAACACAGACAGGTAGGATCTGTATTCTTCAGCAGAAAGTTGATATTCCGTCTCTCAACTTACTTCCCCGGCATCAAACACAAACCTATCTGACCCCATCAAGCTCCATTTCTTTCTCCTCATCATCCAAAGCTCACCGCTGGAGTGAAATGTGGAAAAGCCAGGGTTAGCTAGAGAAAAATCAAAGAACGGGGTGGAAACATGACCTTCCAAAGGAAGGGCTGGCCACACCACTCCTACCATTACAGCCTGACTAATCCCCCGGGAGAACCATTTGCATCCTGCCAATGCACACAGATCAGACTGCAAGAAAGCGGCTGCCATTAGCGAGTAATTAGCATTATCAAATTGCGCACAGGAAATCCTTGGAGGATCAAGCGAGCATGCCAAAAGGAGCAGCATCACACTTCCACAGCGTCAGGGGCAACGGGGGAGCGTCAGCCCCAGGGTTTTTCTTCAAGTCCTGATGTCCTGATCCATTGGCACGGCCCAGCAGAAACCCACGGCACTTGCAGGCTTCACAGACCACGTAATCCCTGCCCTCCCAAAGGGCACTCACCGTCTCAGTAGAGGAATAGAACAGCTCATCGGCTGGCAACACCATTGTCCCGTTATTGAACGAGCTATTCACTGCAAGAGAGGACAGAAGAAGGGAATACCGTGAGCGTGGTGCCGAAACGGCTAGGAAGGAAAGCACATTTCAACTATTAAATCATTTGTTAACTCCATCGAACCGTGCGCAATCTCTTTGCTCCAGTAAAGTGAGTCAAAAGGATTGTTTCGGAGTGACTCAAAAGCAGCGGTCATCAATCATTTAAAAAATGGGAAGAAAAGGCTAAGTGAAACATAATTCAAACCTAACTGGCGTTTTTTTGGAGTTCACTGTAAAAACAAAAATATAGAAAAAACCAGACAGACAATATAGTGTTTCATGGTTTGGCAATATTTTTCTAATGATTTCTGGATTAAATAAATATCCACAGAACACTCCTAATTATTCATTTAAAATTAGTGCACAACCCCAAAGATATCCACAAAATCAAAATGTATTTCAAAATCCAGCACAAACACATGTTTTGAGTTAAAAAGATAGAGAGTAATTGACATCAACAGGACGGAGATGATTTCTTTGAAAAAGAGGGCAGCACCCCCTGTGACAATGATACATGTTTTCCTTTTGTTTCCATGGGATTAGAAGGCATTTATTTGAAATTTCATTTAGAAGCGCAATCCTTCCCTGAAAGCAGGCTTGTCAACTACATCCTCATGTCTTATTTAGGTTTTGCATGTACTTTTATGCCTGATAAGAGTATTTTAAGTTGTACTAAAAGATTGCATAGCTCACATTTGTTTAGCTGGAGAAAGAGTACGTGCATTTGGCTTTTACGCTCCTGAAATCATAGAATCATAGAATAGAATCATCGAATCGTTTAGGTTGGAAAAGCCCTTTAAGATCATCCAGCCCAACCATTAACCTACACTACCAAGTCTACTCTAAGCCAATCAAGGGTAGACCAGACTGAACCATGTCCCAAAGTGCCACCTCTGCCCGTTTTTTGAACACCTCCAGGGATGGTGACTCCCCCACCTCTCTGGGCAGCCTGTTCCAATTCTTGACTACCCTTTCTGTAAAGAAAATTTTCCTAATATCCAACCTAAACCTCCCCTGGCGCAGCTTGAGCCCATTTCCTCTCGTCCTATCGCTAACTATGTGGGAGAAGAGCCCAACACCCACCTCAGTACACCCTCCTGTCAGGGAGTTGTAGAGAGTGATAAGGTCTCCCCATGTTAGGGTCTAAATAAGTGGCAGGACACCTTTATACGTAGGCAATCTGTCCCGGGCCCTTAAGCGGGATCTCACGACTCTCGTTGCTGTGCCCCGCAGCATTAGTGCAGATTTTGCCGCCAGCACCTCCCTCGCGATGGCAGGGATGTGCCTGCGCGTCCCGAGCGGGCAGCCTGCTCCTTCGCCCTGCCGGCAGAAACTGTGCCCAGCTGCAAGCCTTGCTTTAGCGTGGACTTGGTGGTGTGGGTTAATGGTTGGACTGGATGATCTTGGAGGTCTTTTCCAACCTAAACGATTCGATGATTCTATTCGATGATTCTATAAGCCCTGCTGCGAGGAGGGAGCTGAGCCTGTCAAACGATGCAACCGCTTTACGTTCTTTTTCCAGCATCTCCGATCGCATGCAAACCCTCTTGGTAGGCTTGACAGATGGGGTAAAAGGCCTTTTGGATGGAGCAGCTCCTCCGCTCTGAGCAGAAACAGAAGGCGGCCAGTTCAACAAAGCTCTTCACGCTGTCCCATCAGTACCCAAAAACTGCACGGAGCAGAGAGCAGCAAGTTGCAATCTTCTAGACCCCCCTGGTCCCCTCCGCTGCGGCTGTTGAGCCCCCTCGGCGTTCAAGCACGCTGCCCCGATGCTTCGCTTTTGGCTCAACGCTTGCTACGTGGACGCTATCGCTCCCGCAAGCAGATGGAGCGTGGGTCTGGCTGCTGGTTTTGCCTTTTAACTTCTTGAGGCACGCTATAAACCGGTGCGTGTTAGCTCCGAGACGCAGACTGGAGGTGCAAGGATCAAAGGGAAGTCCCCGCTAAGTAATCATTGCCAGAGCGCACATAAATCCCGCCGGTGATTTCAAAGGCAACATTTTAAGGTCCTGCGGAAAGCGCGGCGGGGCTGGCGAGATGCTGCTCCCCGGCTTCCCCAGGGCCCTGCAAGCGGGAGCGCGGGCAGAGCCCAGTGCAGAAACGCCGCAAGGCAAGCTACGGGCTGATGCTAAAACTCTGGAGGCAAATCTTAATGACGCAGAGACAAAAACCAACAGTAAAAAGCCTGAATGGGAGTCTGGAGGAAGAAGAGCCAGCTTACACCTGTGGCGTGACAAAAAGCAATGAAGCTCTACCTCCACTTACTTTGGGAAAAAAACCCCAAACAAATCTCCCCGCCTCGCCAGCACAATCCCCGACAGCTTACCCACCTCGGCTTACAGCACGCCAGCAGCAGCAGACATTATCCGCGCTAGAGGAAAATCCCTGGGAAGACAGCACCTGCTGCCGCATTACGCTTCATTTCCCAGAACCAGGCATCCCCTTTTGCCCATCCGCCACGTGCGTTTTTATCCCATTTTGGAAACTTTCTCTCATGCATTAGGAACTTCCAGGGAGAAAATGTTAGCCTAAAGGGTAACTGATGTCCTAATGCTCTCTTGGTATCTGCTTACACAACCCGCTGCTGCAAGACCTGACGGTCCTGAGCTTTGTTTCCAAGACCTTCGCTATGCTGCTGGCATCGCAGCCGCTGGGATCGCAGCTTGCTTTGGCTTCAGTTCACATCTCCTCGCTTATCTCATGCTGCGCCACCCCCCTCCCCTTTCCCTGAGCCCCCCTGGTCCGGGGACACCATGCGGAGCCGCCAGCCAGTATCCCAGAAGCGCGACGACGATATTCTGCCTCCACTTTGCCATCTGAGACAGGGCTTTACAAAAGGCGCAGGACACGGAGGGTAAGGCCACTTGGGTTTAGCGACCCAGCGCTGCAGACTGACTCTCCTCGCTCGCTACTTTGCTGCTGATTTACTGTTGCGTGGTAAGAGAGGAAAACCTCCCCTGCGGCTGTGATGAGCAGCTGATGTGGCAACCTGTTTATTTAAAGAGCAGGAATTAAACCTGCATTGTCTTTTGCTGACAGATGCTCTCTGGGTTTATGCAGACACAGCTACAGACACACGCACATATCGGTGTACGTCAGACCTGTGAAAATCCAAACCGGTCAGTGTCGCGACGGACGTGCTAGCAGCTATGTAACTTGTTCCTCTGGAAAATTCCTTGCTTCTGCGCATCAAATCCACCGTGGGAGGACGTGCCGCCGCGCAAGGGATGAGAACAGCCGAAGGACCCAGCTAGCGGCACTTGTTCCGCCAAGACTGTAACCCCAGCGCTCGCTGCTTTACACACAGAAGCCTCAAATTAATCTTTGAGCTTGTCCTGGACCGAGTTTTAAATACGGGATCACTCTGTTAGCTGCTCCGTTCCCAGACAGCTTGCTGTTTCCAAGTCTTCTCCCTCAATTTCGGCAGCTTCTGAAGCGCTGGCCTTCGTGCCCGAGGTGCCGCAGACTCGGGCAGAGCTGTGCTGGAGAGCTTGGTGTGGCTGGAGCTCAGCGGGTTACCTGGACAGATTGCTGTCAGCACCTCCAGCACTACCTGCTCACTCCTCCTAGTCAAGGTTTATTCAACGCTCCTTGAAAAACTCAGGAAGGAGCGTTTGGAGATGATGACGATAAGGTCACCTTTACCCTCCGAAACAATCACCTGGCCAAGAGGCAAATCAGATGCGAAGAGAACCGTGGCGGCGAGGGTTTGCGAAATTTTATCAAACCACACCTGCCGACCCTCCGCCCGCTTGCTTACAAAGGTAAAGACCAGCACTGTATTTCCAGGCACAAACCTCTTAGGAAGTAACGTGTGGGCTTCTGCCGCACGCTCCGTTTCCTCCGCGCATTCCAAGTGTACCACCACGCTTGTCCTGGGCACTGGGTCTGGGCCGTAGGCGTTCAGATGGGAAGCGGAGACTTTTGATTTGGCATTGACCGTTCCCCATCCTCCTAACTCCAAAAAAGAAAACACCCTGCCATTCAACTAACATCCAAGCGCGTGCAGAGATCCTACATTTATTAACTAACGTACGCACACAGCTCCTAGGCATCCCGTTCCTGATACCCGCTGCACAGAGGCAGCTCGCAGCAACCACAAGCTTTTCCTGTTGGACAGGTATGTCGAGATAATCTGCAGTTGACTTTGAGCACAAACCAAGTTTCTTGCTCACTCATTGTTTGAAAGACCCTAGGAGTGGTCACAGCTTCCCTAATGGTACGAGCCAGTGTCCTTCTGTTTGTACTTGGGTTTTGTAACCTTTTGTTCCCGGCTGCGTTGCCAGATCTATACGTATGCTGGCTATACCTGCCTCGCAGCCCACACACTAGTGATACGCCGAACCGTTGGCTATACTTCTCTTCTGCTCTACCGAGGAACCGTTTCTGCTTTTCCAGGAGGTGGGAAACCACCCACGTTTGGGTAGCACCCTGAATAAATCCAGCTCCTGCACTTGACAAAATGGCACAAGGACACAAGGGTACAGGGACAGCTTTTCCGCTGGTAGCGGTGCTCACCGAGGAGTCCCAGGAAGGGCGGCTCTAAAGACATTCCGGTTGGCACGTAGGGCGAAATCCACCCCTCAGCCTCAAAATAAGGCTAAGAGAGGATATGTGTAGACAACGGCTAAAGGAGGATTAATGTACCTGTTGATTAGCTGGACTGCAGCACAACAGATAAAGAAAGCAAATGCAATCTCCTATCCGCAAATCGGAGAGCTAATTAAACACTCTCTTACCTGGATCTAATGGTTCACAGGCACAAGAGTAATGCGTGATATAGTCCACCTTGAACTCGGAGTTGATCGGGTAATGGTCGGCCAGCTTGATCATCTTCTTGAAAGCATCGTAAATGAAGATGAAGCTAATCAGGGAGGAAAAACCTTCTTCGGTGAAGCGGGTGAAGTACTTGACCAGGAAGCTGGCATCGGTAGCCACGAGAATGAGACACTGGAAGGCTGACCAAAGGCCGATCCAGAGACGAAACTCCAGGTAGTCAAAATCATTGTCTCTGCAACAAGACAGGGGCGGCAGGAGGGGAAAGAAATATCGGGGTTAGATAAATCCACACAGGACCGTGACTTCCCAGTGAGAAGTGGTGAACGCACAGCCTCTGGGACCCGTGCTCGTTTAGACTCAACGAGAGCGTTCCCAAGAGCTGAGCTCTCTGTTTGCAGCCAGCCAACTCCACAAATGCATGCGGTGCAGTTTAATAGCCGAGGTGGCAGAAAAGCATGCAGAAGTGATCGGTCTTGCTTACGCCTCCACTAATAAATGTTACCAGCGAATTCAAGCTCTTTCTAGGCTTCCCAGTAAAAATCCTCCCTTGGCAAACAGGCACAGAGCTGTAAAGGCCCAAACACCCAGCTGTCCAGACCAAGAGCAGCTCAACGCCAACAGCTTTCCACCAGCTGAAGACGTAACCGCAGCTTAAAAATTGCCTTCAGAAAAGCCATCTCCTGCCAAGCCTCGCACTCAGGAGCTGGTGTTTCCATCTCTCGGGTCCTTGTGCGATTTGCAGGAATCAAAACATCAGCAGGAGAAGATCAAGAAGTGCAAAGCAGAAGACGACGAACCCTGGTGCCAGGATGTGGCAGGCTGTAGAGAACAATGGAGCGAACGGCATCGTTCCTTCCTGGGAAGTTAGTTTGCCCCCTGTTTGCTGCTGGGGGCTGCCGTGCCCTGACGGTGCAGAGACCAAAGGCAGGCTTTTAGGACCGAACAAACGTGGAAAGGGAACACCAGAGCGGATAAGGGCCTGCCGGGGAGGTTCCTGCCTGCTCTGGGGAAGGGGGCGGCGGGGCTGGCAGCCCCAGCCAGCTGGTCTTCCCTGGAAGCCAGGAGCTCTGCAGTGCTGAAGGACAGAGGAGGAAGGGCAGTTTCTGTGGAAAGTCTCGGTGCAAGGTCTCTAACAGCATCGCAAAGCTCTGGGGAGGGGACGGGGCCCAGGAGTTTATCCCTTCCTTCCCCCAACTACATCAAGTGTTGTAAGAAAAACTGAACGTCTCTCCTTGCGAGCCTGCCTTTCAATAAAAAGCAGCAAAAGCCGCCTTCAAGATACCTTAGGAATGCAGGCTACACCAGATAACCACCCCCAGCTCTAAAACGTAAGAGCAGAAAAGCCTCTTTGAGTGCCTCTCCAAGGCAGGAGGGAGGAGGAGATTGCTGGATCGCCTGCAGCACAGCCCCTCCAGGCCTCTTTGTGCCGAGAGGGCAGGCGCGGGCCAGCACCAGCTCCTCCAGAGAACCACGCGTGCCTGGGCGAGGGCTTAGCTCCTGCTGCCAGGGGTGGTTTCAGCTCCGCGGCAAAACACTTGGTAGGGTGCTTGCAACCTGGCTGTCGGGGTTCGGCCCCAGGCAGCAGCTCAGCACCACGCAGC